AATACAAGTGAAGAAACAAACATCACCAGCCCCTTGGGGGAAAGGAGTCCTGGTGGCTCGAGGACAACTCCAAATGTCCATATGTCCCACGGTTCCGCTAAACCAACTGTAAATGACAGGCGGGCTCTCTCAGCCCTGGTTGCGCCCCCTCGCATAGCTCCCTGAAAACCCGGAAGAGAAATTTGAAATCCTCCATCCGCTCGTTCGAAAGCAGGGCCTGCATCGCGATCTGGGTGTAGTTCTCCTTGTCCACGACGACCATTAGTGCCAAGAAGAGCTTGCACCTGGTTGCGTACCACAAATTGGACACGGGGGTATGAAGAATTGTTCGCAACAGGCGAGCGACCTAAAAGTTTCGAGCGGGAATACCCACGGACAACCGGATGACGTACACATGTTAAGAATACAGGCCGCCAAACAACTCACGCATTGGTGCCGAAGGTGTTGTCCTGGATGACGATGGGGAAGTACCGAGGTGCATTTTTCTTCTGCTCGTCGAGCGCCCAAGCGATGCGCCCAACGCGGCCGTCCCTGTCCAATTGGAATCTCACCCAGACACCCGCCTCCTGGAGCCGTTTCAACAACTGCTGGGCGTCCTTGGCATGTCCCAACTTCTCGGCTTCTCCCTTCTCGTAGCGCTTGATGATAGTCCTCACCTTCGGCGAAAAAGTTCGCAGAGTCGGGCGGACGGAACACGTATAATCTTTCAGAGAATTCATGGCACCAAGCAAATTCAAAACTGCGCTGAGGTAGAAACGCGTGTTTGACGGCGAACACACGAGCGAAGAAACGAGGATGGATGCCTTCGAGCGGAGTGCCGCTCGGGGCCCACGTCCCTACCTGCGCCCTTCTCGTCATGGAGCCCACAAGTGCACCATACTACGTCGGGTTCCTATCCTCACCCACTCACCTTCTCCTTACCTTTCCCTCCCAGCCTCTTCGTGGGGGTCTGAAGCTGTTCGAAGATCTCCGGGTTCTTCGCTCCGTGAGAGGACATGCTCAGGATCTTGGCCGTCTGTTCTTTAATCTCCTCGTCGGTCATCTCGTTTTCGAACGTTCGTGGAGGGTTGTGCTCGACCTTGTTCGCCCCTGAGCCCCCCGCCCCTGAGCCCCCAAGGTAGTGGTGCAAGCACAGCTTGGTCTGGGCCATTCGGATTGGACAGGCGAAAGCATCATGGTCACGGCACACGAAGGGTGTCCAGAGAGAGCGGTAGTGGTGTGAGAGTATGCAAAGGGTTGCATTCTAACAGGCGGCGCTACTACACTGTAGCTTGAGCGACAGTATGCGCTTGGAATGTACTAGTATCTCGCAGCACTCTCTGTGGGGTAAGCTAAGCATATAAAACGCCAGCGTACTTACACTTGAAATGGTAGGACTTTCTTGATCTGTTGGCCAGTTCGCCGCCACGCAAAAGTCGCAGACCAGCTGGGAATCGAAATTTGCGATCATAAAAACGTGGTGCGCCGGTTGTGCGGGGGGCAACCGATCCGTCAGTGCGGGCAGCGTAGGGGTCGCCGTCGGTCTTGAAAAACATGAAGGAAGGTGGTGTTGCCAAGACACGTAGTGACTTTGGGGTCCAATGCGGGGGGAGATGGCCGCAGAGACGGGGTTATCGTCCATGAAGCCTAGATACAACAAAGCAATGAAGCAAACACAACCATTGAACAACAGCGATTCAAGTTTCCCACCACCAAACGCCTTTTCGATGTGCTTCGCCGAGGACAAGGAAAAGACAGTGCGAAAGCAATGTAAGACCATGACAAAAGAAACGTGGCTTTCAAAATTGTACAAATGTAGGGCTTCCAGAGCAAGAACATGCGGACATGGGTGCTTCAGCGATGGAGATGGGACCGTGCCAGAGTGTTGCGCTCAGAAGAAAATCTACAAATATACCTACAACAACGGGTGCTCTTCACTGCTATTATAGAGCAATTTAGACATCGCAGTGACACCACAGCCAAGCGGGTTTTCATCCGACTGTTGTCCTGAATTGACGTCTACGAGCCCCGAGGTTGGCCGTCTAATATTTCCGTCCTTCGGCGAAGGGACCCTGGGACCGAACAAAATAACAGCATTGGCAAGCCCGACGTACTCAACATCTTATATACTTCGACAGACCAGCACCTTCGTCGTCGTCGTGTTCTTCGTCGACTTCGTCCGCCGCGAGTCCGGCGTACTACTGTGCACGCAGACGAATTCGACGCGTCTCCACCTGTTCTTTTCCAGCCGAGCTGGTTGCACGGAAAAGCTGGTAGGACGGTGAGACGTATTTTCATGTGTTACTGGTGGGTTATATACAACTCGCCCCGGTGTTCTAGTTGGTATCCACGCAACCAACTAAGGCACCAGGCCACGGGCTCGATTCCCGACGAAGATTTTTTCTTTACATTCGTTCCTGTTACTACGGCGTTGGTACTACATCGAAAGCGATAACTCGTTAGTAAATGCGAGGGTGGGGAGCGCTGAACCCTGCTCGCGATCAGAACTCCCAGGGCAGGCCCCGCAGGACGCGGTGCCCAACATCGACCCCATACGTGTGACCCCGGGTGTGTCGTTTGGCTATTTAGCTGCTGTGAAGAGAGAAGTCAGAAGATGGCAAACAATCAACCTATATATATATATGTAGTTTCACTGGAGGAGCAAGTGCCATACACGTGCGCGTGCTCATGCCCCCGTCTTCTGCCCTTTCGGTGTACGAGAGACAAGAAAGTGCCAGAAGGGCCTTGCACCAGCTTACGACAGGGCACGAGGCCGAACAAACTGTTTCCAGTCACCTGTTGATCATAGCTATGGACCTAAACTCTCCAACGGCGTTACGCACGGACAACGTACCTTCTCCTTGTTTCGTTTGTGCATCCTGGGGTCCGCACGCTTAGCATTCACTCCACGCAGTGAGTGAAATCGACCAACAGTGTCTTGAAGACGACGATGGTAAGGTCGGGGACTATGGTGGACGTACATGACGCCATCGTGGGCAAGGTCAAGGACGACGCGACCAAAAGCGAAGGGTGAGCATTTGGTTGAACTTGTCAACAAAATTTTGTTACGTTGTTGTCTCCGTTGCGTCAAATCTTCTACGGAGAAGCTGCCATGTCTGGTATGCTTGTCAAATATTGTGGCCAACCGTTCACAAGTGGGAAGGTTTCGGTGTGCCCGTAGAAGGATCTCTTCCACCATTCCCAAACCAGCGTGCGTCCCCAGAACCGTCTGTCGAAACTTGTGTGCACATGTGTGGTTCCATGCAACCCACGAAATAGCCGTAGAGTTATCCTGAGTCGTTACAAGCAATCGAGGTCCATGCCCCGGCGGGGTAGGGCTTCGTTGTTTTTTCCTCTGTAAAATGCGTGTCGCTATCCCGTCACCAGCTACAGCAGCAGTAGTTTTACCTTGTGCCCGCCCTCTTGTTGCTGGCGCGCGCGCTTTGAAGGCAAACCGCTGGGGGCGCGGTCCACCGTGTGCGCCAACCGAACGCCTCGGCCGTTGACATAGTGACGGACGGCTGGCTGAGAGGTTTCGACTTCGTCCGGGAGGGTATGCGACACGCCCAATGCTGTGCCTTTGCTATGAAGGTCAGTTTTTGCGTAGGTCTGCCGAGGGGATAACCTTTCGGGTATCGCTCCTCTTTCGCCTCGCACCGTGTGACCTTGCCGTACTTCTCTAGTGGTATTCCTATCGTAGAGAGCGGCAGCAGTGATATCTTCGTGCTTTGTATGGCACAATGATGCTGTTGGGTGGAGATAAAAACCGTGCAGTTTGAATCCCATGGTTTATTTTCTCTCTCCCCCCCCTCCTCGTACACCGGCGTCACGTGTTTGTGGTACTTGGATATGAGTCCGATCCGTGCATCCTCTGTGGGGGATACGCGTATGGGAGTATGGGTGTGATGGGTGTGTATGCGGTTGAGTTCCAAGTGCGGTCCCCCCGGGTGAACACACGGTGTGCTCCCGGCACTTGCCTGAGAAGCTTGCGTGATGGTGATCAGCTTGCCTAAGGGGCTGCCGTGACGGATATAATCTATGTAATACATGGTCCTTCTTCATCTGCTGTTCCTGGGATAACATAGCACCCAGTCTCAACACCACAGACCGCTGAGGGCGGCAGTTCACACTAACACGATATCGTTTGGAGCCTAGCTAGGCCAGGTGTTGGCTCGCGGCAATGGTCATCGGACACGTGAGTAGCCGAGAGAGCGGCGAGAGAGAGGGTGTAGCCAAGAAACGAGGCCAGAGAGGACGGTAGCCGAGAAAGCGGTGATGATGAGAGAAAGAGATTTAGAGTTAGAAGAACAAGTGGAGAATATGGAGCAGGAAGCCGAGAGAGCAGCCGGGGAAGCGGCAGCCAAGATGGCGGACCTGCAGAGGAGATTCGAGGAGGCAGAGGAGAAGAGTTTAGCGGAGAAAGCCGCCAGAAGGAGAGTGGGTGATGCCGGGTATGCGGCAGGTAGCATGAGGATAAGCGGCTCTGGCTATGCTTTGGGTACCATAGCAGGGATGGAGCTGCCGGAGGGGCGGCTACTCTTGGAGCCGGGGGGACGGCTAGTTTTTTCGATGATCGGGAGCAGCAGCAGCGTGACCGCGATTACGTGCGGAAGGACCGGAAGCCACCGGTGTACGACGGCAATTTCCCACTGTTCAAATCTCTGTCCGAGCTCTTCCTCGCCCGCGAAGATCTATCACACATGCTCGCCAAGCCGGCGAGTCCAGACCTACGCATCTGGCTCCTCAACGGGCTGTCAAGGAGCGAAAACGTCCGCCTGCACGGTGAGCGTCGCGTTCGCGATCATGAGTATGCGTTTGAGTACTTGATGCGCGCCACGAAGGGGGCAAACTTTCAGGCTGAAATCCTTGCCGTTGGGCCTGTGTCTGGGTCGTGGGAGGCTGCACAACAGTTCTGCCTGCCGATGAGTGACTCCGAGCAGGAGGCACTGAAGCTATATCTCACGAACATGAAGATGCAGCTTGGAGAGGACCAAAAGGAGTACTTTCTTAGGTTCGACAGAGTGTTGTCTACTCTCCGCGCCGTCAACGGCGATGCGATCACGGATAGAGAAGTCCTCCCGATGCTTCGAAGGAACCTCTCCGCCGACTACGAACAGGTCCACATTCTCTTCATGGCCAACAGCTCGCTCACGCGCAAGGACTTGGAGAATCTTGTGCGTAGCCTGCACGCCGACAACGTAGCTTCTCTCAACGTATACACACACTCCGCCACTCGGTCTCGCCAGCGGCACGCGACATCACGTGTAGCACCTCCAGTAGTGCGGCAACGCGATGAGCTGAATCTCATGGAGGGCGGATACAGCAGTAGACGTGAAGCGGAGGAACACATGCTTGGATCGTATCACGTTGTTGTAGTTCGCCGTCCGCAGAATCGCAACAACCCAAGCATTCGTCGGAAGCGGCAGCAGCAGCAGCGGCGTCCCCGGTCGCCGCGTTGGCAAGGGGTATGCAGACGGCCGCGGCGGCGGCGCCGGCGGCAGCATCGGCAGGAGCGTTAGCGGCGCGGACGGGTTCGGCCAGAGCGCCGTCACCGACAGCAGCGTCGGCGGGAGCGGAGGTGGTGCGGACGGCTTTGGCCAGAGCGCCGTCCCCGACAGCAGCATCGGCGGTGGCGGCATCGGTGACGGGGGGAACGGCAGCAGCAGCAGCAGCGGCGGCGTCCCCGGTCGCCGCGTTGGCGTTGGGTGTCCAGACGGCCGCAGAGGCGGCGGTGTCGACATCGGTGACGGGGGTAACGGCAGCGCCGGCAGCAGCAACGGAGTCCCCGGTCACCGCATTGGCGTCGGGTATCCAGACGACCGCAGCGGCGGCGGTAGCGACATCGGTGATGGGGGTAACGGCAACGGTGACAGCAGCAGCGACGTCCCCGGTCGCCGCATTGGTGTCGGGTGTCCAGACGGCCGCAGGGGCGGCGGCGGCGGCACCGGTGACGGAGGTATGTGACGAAGAGTTGGAGGAAGCGGTTGGTGCGACGACCATGCCATTGCCAGTCCTCGCGGAACTTGATAGCCAATGTGCTGGGAAGGACGTGAGCAACAGCAGCATCCGCAGCAGCAGTAGCAGCAGCAGTAGCAGCAGCTGCAGCAGCGAGGACAGCGGCGGCGATGGGAGCGGGGACGAGGGGCTGGATGAAATATGGAGTGGAGCTCCGACGCACCCTTTCGACCCCGGGAAGGCTGAGGGGGACGTGAGCAGCAGCAGCGGCAGCAGCAGTAGCGGCATCAGCGAGGAAAGCGGTGGTGATGGGAGCGGGGATGAGGGGTTGGATGAAACGTGGAGTGGAGCCCCGACGCACCCCTTCGACATCTTCGCGTGGAGCGAGGAGGCGGGGGGCGGTTCCAGGGGTGGCGTACCCCTTCGATAGGGGCGGGAACGGGAGTGGCAGCTCCGGCGGCGGCAACGGCGGCAGCGGCGCCAGCCGCAGCAGCGACGGGAGTGGCGGCTTCGGCCAGAGCTCCGGCGGCGACACCGGCGGCAGCAGGAGCAGCGACGGGAGTGGTGGCTTCGGCCAGAGCTTCGACGGCAGCAGCAGACGGCAGCGGCGGCTTCGACCAGAGCCTCGTCGGCGGCAGCGGCAACAACGGCGGCGGTGGGAGAGGCGGCAGCAGGGACGTCACCGGCAGCCGTGTTGGCGCTGGAACTCATGACGGTCGTGGCGGTGGGGGAACGGCAACGGCGGCGATGGCAGCGGCGGCAGCAGCGGTGGCGCCCTCGAGTCGACCGGGAACGGGGAGGGCACGGTGACAGCGACGACCTCACCTTGTTACAGCCAAGTGGGAGAACATGTGAAACATTTTCGACTTTGTTCGGTTTTGTGAGCAGGCATGTAGGTTTTAGCTTCGCCATTTGGCTTCGCATTTATTGTTTTGTTCTGTTTTTCCCTTGCTAGCGCGCCGTGCACTTTGATGCAGAAAACACGTGTATGCCACGGCGTATGCGAAAGTTTTATTTTTTTTGGTACTTGGTTTCATGATAATAATTGTACGCTGCGACAAGATAATCATTGCCACAACCTGTGGAACAGGAAGCAGCACGTGGGTATTTTTTTTCCTTGTTTCTTGGTATATTTTCAGTCGCGTTTGACCTTGCGGCTGAATGCTTCATACTATTTCCGTATTCTTTAGAGGGAGTACGTTTAGTCGCGTTTTTTTTTCTACGAACTGGACGCTTTGCACTCAGAATGTTTTGATACTTTGGTTTTATGTGAGGTCCTGAGTTAAGTGGTCGCTCTCTGCGGTGTGTTTCTGGCTGCGCGCACGAAATGGGATGATAGCGCGTTGTTTGACATGCATGAAGGCATACTTATCAGGGAGCAGGGGGGCTTTCGGAGTACCAATTAAGGAGACAGTTTGTATACGGTACGAACTTTTTGTGGAGTTTGATGCCTTGTGTGTTTCGTGCTTTCATGTTTGTGGTTTTTATCGCATGTTTCACTGCTCTTGCATCGAAAATCATGGGGAGGGATGTCATGTATGACCATGATTCTAGAGGGCATGAGCAGCAATCGAATTGGTTTGTTTTCTGGCCGCGCCTACTTGCGTGTTAGGTGAACGGCAAAGCAACGGGGCTGTTGGCATCGAAATATTAGCTCGGGGTGAGTTTTGGGAGCTGACAGCAGGGGGGCTATTTTCGTGGATGCTTGCTTACGTTTTCTATCGTTTCTTGGACAACAGCGACCGTACCGATTAGCGGGTGCGCGCTGCTTAGGATTTGGTCCTTGGACACTGTATTGGAGGAGGTATTTGGCATGTTTTGACGATCAATGGTGAGGGGCGGTGTGCTTTCCGAATCCTCGTTTTGATTGGTCAAGAAGTTGAGTTTTTGTTTTGTTCGAGGATTTGGTGCCAACACTTTTAAAGTTGTTTTTCCAGAAATATCCGTTTTCGTTCCGACGCCTTTCTGATGTAGCACAAATAAGTGTTGGGTACCTTTCTGAGGATGATTCTTTTCGGTCAACGGTTCGAGATTAGTTCCAGAGACGAACGCGTTGAATTCGTGAATATACTGAGGGAGACGCGTTGTGTTGAACGTGTAGCCAGTTTTGTTGAGTAAGTTTTCTCAAGGAGTGTTTTTCTGTGTTGGCTAATTGCGCGTGAAGGGTTGCAAGATCGTACATCGTATCAAGTAGGGGGGCTGTTTGTGGTACTTGGATATGAGTCCGACCCGTGCATCCTCTGTGGGGGATACGCCTATTGGAGTATGGACGTGATGGGTATGTATGCGGTTGGGGTCCAAGTGCGGTCCCCCCGGGTGAGCACACGGCGGTGTGCTCCCGGCACTTGCCTGAGGGGCTTGCGTGTTGGTGATCAGCTTGCATGAGGGGCTTCCGTGACGGATATATACAATACATGGTCCTTTTTCATCTGCTGTTCCTGGGAGAACATAGCACCCATTCTCAACACTACAGACCGCTGAGGCCGGCAGTACACACTAACATCACGTTCTCGTTCCGTCAAAACCTGCAGGACATGTCGACCGAGGCCTTGGCGGCTATGGGCAACAAGGTCCACATTCGGGCGAGGGGGGACGGCAACGTGTAACGTGAGCTTGCCAACATGGTGCCGAACCCGGCTAGCGCGGGGTTGTGGTACGCCCCCGCCTCCGGCGGAGACGATGACACGTGGGCCACCCGGACGTCCGTCAAGTTCTTCGCGGACTTGATGGAGGGCCAGGTTGTCGACCTAATCGTGCGCATCGCGAGGAGCTACCCGGATCCAGATGGGGGACCCGATTACTGCCACCTCGTCGCCCTTGGACCCGATGGCTTCGTCCTCTGCACTTGCCTGCGGTTACTCTTCGATGGTCTCGGCTGCCGACATGCTCTCCGGGCCATGCGTGAGACGTACTTCGGCTTCAACGGAGGGTGCCTTGCAACCCGCTGCCGTGACGGTGCGATGCCGTGGACGCTGGCACACCTCGCCGTTAAGCGTGCGGTGCCATCGAATTCAAGTGCGGGGCTTCCCGGAGCGCTGCCTCCCGCTCCTGCGGATCCTGGCGCTTTCTCCCACTCAAAACCGACGGCAAGAGCAAGCAATTGGGCCAGCTGCGTCGCCTTCCGGAAGGAGGTCGCATCTCTGATGACAGGTCACTCCGTCGCCCCTTGCCAACGCGTCCTAGACAACCTGCTCAGCCACGCCAAGCAGCTCATCGAGGAGGAGGAGGTGAGGACGCAGCACGAGGCCTCCACAAGCCGGATTGTCAAGGGAGTCGTTGCTCGGCCTACGACTGCATCGACCCGCCAGAGCGAGCTGGCGTCGGGACGGGGCCGGCCGGGAGTCGCGGCCGAGCAGACGGCGGAAGGAGAGGCGGGGGGGGCGAGGAGAAGTGGCGGAAGGGGTTCAACAGGACGAGGGGGAGGGGGAGGGGTGGCTCCTGGCGGTTCCGCGGCGAGCATGCCGAGTCTTGCCATGGGCATTGCAGCGTTCCAACAGGTGGCCGGCGCCGGCACCACCAGCGGGGGAGGGCAGGGGGGAGGGCCGGACCCTGGTGTTTCCGCGGCGGCCATGCCGAGTCTCGCCATGGATGTTCCGGCCTTCCCACAGGCGGCCGGCGCCGGCATCACCCGCGGGGAGGGCGGGCGGGGAGGGCCGGGCGTGGTGTGTCACGGCGAGGATGCTAAGCCCTGGCGTGGATCTTTCGGCCCGCCGGGCTGGCGTCACCGGCACTGCTGTGGGTTTCGGCCCAGCACCCACGAACGGGACATACACGTTGGGGGGCTCCGGCGCACCGCTTCGCTCCCTGAGCAACGCACCTCGAGGTGGGGTGGGTCAAGCTTCGCTCGATCTCGCGTCCTCGGCTTCCGACGCGACAAATTCCTGCGCGCCGGAGAGTTTCCAGCAATCAAGACTGAATGGAGGAGTTCGGGCCGGCGAAAACCACGGCCAGCCTCTGCCTTCGACGCCTCGATATGTAGCATTTTTGGACCAGGTGCAATCGCCCCCAAAAAAGAGTCAGGCAGGATCGAGCAAGAGGATCACTTGGACGGCCAAGAGAGATAAGCGTGGTGGAGGGCAGCATGCAATTCAGGGAGGAGCCCAAGGGGCCTGGGGCAGCTCCAATAGAGTTTTGTAGAATATTGTCCTTTCGCTCGCGTCGGATATTTGTGGTGCTGGCGTGGAGAAGCGTCCAGGCCGCAGCGAACATCTGCTGTGGGAAGAGAACGTTCGTTCGGAATTTGGAACCCAACANGGGCAAGAGCAAGTAATTGGGTCAGCTGCGTCGCCTTCGGGAAGGAGGTCGCATCTCTGACGACAGAGGTCAACGCCGTCGCCCCCTGCCAACGCGTCCTAGACAACCTGTTCAACCACGCCAAGCAGCTCATCGAGGTGGAGGTGAGGTCGCAGCACGAGGCCTCCACAAGCCGGATTTTTAAGGGAGTCGTTGCCCGGCCTACGACCGCCACCGACCCGCCAGAGCGAGCTGGCGTCGGGACGGGGCCGGCCGGGGGTCGCGGCCGAGGAGACGGCGGAAGGAGAGGCGGGGGGGGGCGAGGAGAAGTGGTGGAAGGGGTTCAACAGGACGAGGGGGAGGGGGAGGGGTGGCTCCTGGCGGTTCCGCGGCGAGCATGCCGAGTCTTGCCATGGGCATTGCAGCGTTCCAACAGGTGGCCGGCGCCGGCACCACCAGCGGGGGAGGGCAGGGGGGAGGGCCGGACCCTGGTGTTTCCGCGGCGGCCATGCCGAGTCTCGCCATGGATGTTCCGGCCTTCCCACAGGCGGCCGGCGCCGGCATCACCCGCGGGGAGGGCGGGCGGGGAGGGCCGGGCGTGGTGTGTCACGGCGAGGATGCTAAGCCCTGGCGTGGATCTTTCGGCCCGCCGGGCTGGCGTCACCGGCACTGCTGTGGGTTTCGGCCCAGCACCCACGAACGGGACATACACGTTGGGGGGCTCCGGCGCACCGCTTCGCTCCCTGAGCAACGCACCTCGAGGTGGGGTGGGTCAAGCTTCGCTCGATCTCGCGTCCTCGGCTTCCGACGCGACAAATTCCTGCGCGCCGGAGAGTTTCCAGCAATCAAGACTGAATGGAGGAGTTCGGGCCGGCGAAAACCACGGCCAGCCTCTGCCTTCGACGCCTCGATATGTAGCATTTTTGGACCAGGTGCAATCGCCCCCAAAAAAGAGTCAGGCAGGATCGAGCAAGAGGATCACTTGGACGGCCAAGAGAGATAAGCGTGGTGGAGGGCAGCATGCAATTCAGGGAGGAGCCCAAGGGGCCTGGGGCAGCTCCAATAGAGTTTTGTAGAATATTGTCCTTTCGCTCGCGTCGGATATTTGTGGTGCTGGCGTGGAGAAGCGTCCAGGCCGCAGCGAACATCTGCTGTGGGAAGAGAACGTTCGTTCGGAATTTGGAACCCAACAGCGGCGGCATGTTTGAAAAGGGAGCAAGGGTGAGAGCGAATCAAGCTCGGAGTTTAGCGGGGCGACATGAGGGAGACTGTAAGCGTCGGAGTAGCCCTTTTCTTGAGGTGCCGCACGCAGTTGGTTGTTGTTCGTGAGCGCGCGTTGAAGATTAAAGACTGTTTCATGCCGGTCTTGTTGCGGCTTCGTGGATAACAGGAACGGGGTTACAGCGACTGACACCGTCTTGTGCGGCCATGTTTTCTTATGTTTTATCCTGCACTTCCTTCGCGAAGTGTCACGGTGCTCCAAGTAGTGGCGGTTTCAATCGTGGTGTTTCTTTCGAAATGTGACTGCTGTACCGGGGTACCCTGTTAAACTTTTGTTATGAACATTTTTCTTAGATTCTCTGTTTGTTTTCAAATACTTTGCCGACGATCGGACCCCCGACCGAATCAGCGTGTAAAGAACGTTTTGTAGCATATTTATAACGAAATCTTCCGCCCAAACAGACACAGCGTGCTGCAGCATGGCCACATAACCACGGAGGAGGCAAGACCTTCTTTTCTTTCACAACGTCACGTCAGTGCCGAACCACCTGCACGCTTTGAGCAACACACATAGGTTGAAGCAGCCCTCGCACGCACGCCATGGGCTTCCACCGCCACTATCCCCTTGCTCTTGAACAGCACAACCTTTCACATACTCTGTGGGGAGTCCTTTTCTGTGCTATCGGCATGCTGTGTGCGTGCCTACGCGCGTGCGTGCAGTTGTCTGCTGCGCGCTTGCGCGGGCGGGGGACTTTCAAATTTGTGGGTCTGTAAAGAGAGGTTCCGGAGGCTTTTTGAGGGCGGGCGGGTCGGCTCCTGCCCTCAAGGGCAGATTTCCGGGCGCCGCATTGGGATGAGTTCTGCTGGAGACGAAGCGCGCACTGCTGCGAGCGGAGAACAGATCCGCCCGCCGGTGCAGGAGGGCAGCGATGCGGAGCTTGCAAGTTTGCAACTGCAGATTTCGCAATTGGCGGCCCTCGTGGAGGAGTCGGTGAAAAAGGAGGAGCCTGGCAGCGTCGTGGCGGATGCAGCCAGTAGTGGCGGCTGGGTTGACGCCACCGGAGGCCAACAAGAAGAGCCCATGCAGCCGCTCGGCGGTGGCGGGGGATTTCTAAAGCAGCAAGCGAGAGATGGCGGGCAAGGAACACGGCAGCTGCTGGAAGGCGGCTGGGCCAGCAGATCGGGAGCGAACCCTGTTGGACCAGCCGGAGCGGGCCCGAGCATAGGACTGGACTACGAGGAAGCGAGGGGGTTGAATCCCTCAGGTGAGATACCCGTGATTCGAGGAAATGGAGAATTCCTCGACGGCTACAGGCAGCAGTAGCCACATGAAGAGAGTAACAGTCAATGCCCCGCGTCTCGAAGGGTAGAGTCGCGACCATGGGTGTGACTCGTGGAGAAAAACGCTTATCCAAGCGGCCAAGACTGTAGGACTGGCTGGACGGCTGATTGATCGGCAACAACGAGAGACATTAACCTGTCGGTAACCCAAACGTGCCAAGCTCGGAGCTGTACCGCCTCCAATACACCAGCGACGAGGTCCAGAGGGGCCTCCAAGCGTTCCATTTTGTGACCACTGCCATCGTCAGAGAAGCCAAGGCGATCGTGAACAAATGCGAGACCGCAAAAGAGATCCTGAACTTGATAAAATCTACGATCCGGAATCGCAGGGCTCGAAACAAGCCCTCATGAAGCAAATGTTCAACCTCACGATCCCCACACAGCAGCAGAAACCCCATCGAGCACCTGTACTCGCTCGAGCTGCTGTACTCACGCTTACGCGAAAAAGGGCTCAACGCTGACGCACCCTTTGTACTCGCCCACTTCGTTGGTTCCCTCCCACCCGAGTACCAACAAACGAAGTTCCTGTTGGAGACAGCAACGGCGCTGGATAGGGCCGAGATCGTCATAACCGTGAGCACGGTGCATGCGAGCCTTCCGGATAGGAGGAAGGCCTCGAAGGGCCAGCGGAGGGCGGAGTACGCTCTCCTCGCGAGCGACGGTAGCGGTGGGGGAGGAGGGCCGGGCCGCGGCAACGGCGGCCGCCGCAAGGGTGGCGGCGGCGGCGGCGGCAACCAGAAGAGGAGAAGAGGTGGCGCGAAGGCTGGTGGCGGCGGCGGAGGCGGCGGAGGCGGCGGCGACGATGCGGGTAGCATGCGCGGTCACTGTTTCCGGTGCGGTAAGAAGGACCACCAGGTGGCCGACTGCACCGACAGCAAGCCCGTGCGATGTGAGACATGCAAGGGCTACGGGCACGACAAGAACAAGTGCCCGACCGAGGGGACGGTGCTATTAATAGTGGTGGAAGTGCCGGCGGGGGGGGCGTTTGCGAACGCCACAACAATGGAAATGGTAGAAGAGGCGCTGGTGGTCGGTGGCATCTCAGGCGAGTGTCACAAAGTCGTTGGTCGAGGGAGTGTAGAGCAGGCTAGGCAGGGTACGTATGTTACCGATACCGGCGCTACCACCCACACGTTCCCGAACTCAGATGGGTCCGTTCGTTACGAAGAGTGTGATCGACGTGTGCGCGTCGCCGCCGGAGGAACCTTTTTCCCCATCGTGGGGTACGGCGACGTGATGGTAACCCTTAGCTCGCGCGACGGCACAATCCACCTGTTGTTGGAACGGGTTGCACACGTTCCCCGGCTAGATTACAACCTAGTATCTCTCACTTCCCTCTTCGACGATGGGTTCGAAGCCAAAACCCTCAATAAAAACGAGTTGGAATTGGAGAGGGGGGGGGGNCACAAAGTCGTTGGTCGAGGGAGTGTAGAGCAGGCTAGGCAGGGTACGTATGTTACCGATACCGGCGCTACCACCCACACGTTCCCGAACTCAGATGGGTCCGTTCGTTACGAAGAGTGTGATCGACGTGTGCGCGTCGCCGCCGGAGGAACCTTTTTCCCCATCGTGGGGTACGGCGACGTGATGGTAACCCTTAGCTCGCGCGACGGCACAATCCACCTGTTGTTGGAACGGGTTGCACACGTTCCCCGGCTAGATTACAACCTAGTATCTCTCACTTCCCTCTTCGACGATGGGTTCGAAGCCAAAACCCTCAATAAAAACGAGTTGGAATTGGAGAGGGGGGGGGGAGTCGGTGTACTTCCCCCGATGCGGTAACCTGTGCGTCCAAAACGGTTTGCGCTCACACACCGAACATGCCTGTGCCGCAATTGCTCCTGGCAACGCGAAAGCGTCCAGCGCCCCCGTTCACATCAACGATTTCCACTGCGCGCACGGCCACTCCCACGAGGTGCTGCTGAGGATCACGGCGAAGCAGCAGGGGATGACGCTGGTGGGCGAGCTCCGGCAGTGCCTGGGGTGCTCGATGGCGAAGGGGCTTTCCAAGCCCATCCCCAACAACACGTCGACCCGAGCAGCCAAGAAACTGCAGCGAGTTTTCGTGGATTTGAGTGGAAAAGCTAGGGTGCAGAGCTTGGGGGGGAAGTGGTACACTCTCATTGTCAAGAATGGTTACACAACGTGGAATTGTGTCTATTTCCTAAAGCACAAATCAGACGCAGCTGAGGCATTCGAGAGGTACCTTGCAGAAACCGGGCAGACGGTGCCCCGTCCCATGTCATGGCCGTGAGATCTGACAACGGAAGAGATTTTTTGAGGGAGACTTCGGCAGGGTGTGCCGGAAGTGCTGCATCAAACAGGAGTTCACCCCCGCNGTTACACAACGTGGAATTGTGTCTATTTCCTAAAGCACAAATCAGACGCAGCTGAGGCATTCGAGAGGTACCTTGCAGAAACCGGGCAGACGGTGCCCCGTCCCATGTCATGGCCGTGAGATCTGACAACGGAAGAGATTTTTTGAGGGAGACTTCGGCAGGGTGTGCCGGAAGTGCTGCATCAAACAGGAGTTCACCCCCGCACACAGCCCAGAATACAACGGTGTAGCTGAGAGAGCACTGGGTCTGATCAAGGATGCAGCACTAGCCGCCCGTATCCAAGCGCCAACTCTTTACCCTGGAGCACCGAACAACCCTCCCTTTGGGCCGAGGCCATAGCTTGGGCATGCAACGCCCTGAATTGCACCTCCACCAGATCCAACCCAGAGAAGAATTCGCCGTAAGAGATGTGGCACGAGCACCCTCCCCCGCCGGGGGCGACGTACCCGTTCCTCAAACCTGACGTATACAAGGTTAAGCGCACACACAAGTCCGAGCCGAAAGCCCAAAAGTGTTTTAACCTCGGCCCGGGAATCAACACCAACCGTGATTGCGTGCGCATCTTGAACGAAAAACGCCAAGCGATCGCAACTTGCATCTTCACCTGGCAATCCGTACTCGCTGCCCCCACCTCCCTGCCCCAGTCGCTGCCTCCCATCGGAGAGGAGGGAGAGGAGTTCGCGACTGGGCAAGACGAGGTTGGGGAGGGCGCGTCGAGCCAAGGTGGATGGAGGACAAAGGGAGAACCTGTGGATGGAGGACCAGGTTTCAACCTTGGCACGACGGCAGCCCCGGGGGCCGCGGGGCCGCCCGCGCGCATAGCGCCGGCCGCGCCGCCGCCCGCGCCCCAGGAGTCGGGCGAGGGCGACGCTGGCGATGACGCCCCCCCGAGCAGGGAGGGCGCGAGCGTCGCCCCATCTATCACGTCCACCGGCACGGCCGATGTGGGCGGCGGCGAGGACGACCGGCGCAACAGCAGCAGCCGCGGTAGCGGCGGCAGCGGCAGCGACAGCAGCAGCGGTGGCAGCAGCGGCGATGACGGCGGCAGCGACAGTAGCAAGCGAGAAGGGCATGAATCTCAATCACTGGGATGTGAAGCCGCCGTACACAAACGCCACACTAGACGAGGAGGTTTTCCTGAGGCTTCCCGCTGGGTGCGGGGACAAATCGCATAAGATTGTTAAGGCTGAGCGTGCGATTTACGGTCTGAAGCAGAGCGATAGGCAGTGGGGGTACCACGCTGCTGATACGCTAGTCGAGAACGGGTCCGAGCAGTGCAAGGCGGACCCGTGTGTTTTCCGTAAGATGGTAGACGAAGTCGTTTGTGATGATTATCGTGATCTACGTGGATGACATTCTGGTGGCTGGGTCTGACGAGGATTACGAGGAGTTGCTTGCTTCTCTCAACAACAAAAAATCCCACCAATAATCTTGGAGAATGCGAATGGTTTGACGGGTGCACCATTGAGAGAGATGTAGAGGCTGGGACTCTTAGAATCTCCAAACCGCGTACATTGATATCATGGTGGACGCTTTGATGTGCAATAGACCTCCCACATCCCCGCTACCCCTGGTGCCGACCTAGGACCGAAGCGAGATGACGAGAAGTGAGGGGAGTGGCCGGTGAGCGAGGCCATCGGCAGCATGATGTGGGTGTCGACTTTCTCGCGTCCAGACGTCTCGTTCGCCGTGCGTGCGGTAGCGCGCCACGCCCACGCCCCGGCGAAGAGGCACTGNCGCGCCACGCCCACGCCCCGGCGAAGCGGCACTGGGATGCCATCCAGAAGATCGTCGGCTACATGAAAGGGACGAGGGACCTCGGCATCACCTACCAACGGGGATCGGGGTTAGGGCTGGCCATGTACGTAGACGCTAGCTACGCCGACACGGAGGATAAGCGTTCGGTGTCAGATTTGGCGACGACGGTCGGAGGTACCGTATTCAGCCATGGTAGCAAGACACAGAGCATCGTGTCTTTGTCTTCGACGGAAGCCGAGTACATTGCTGTCGGGGAGGGCGTCAAGGAGGCGTTGTTTGTGCGTGCGGTACTTTCGTTTGTTGCCCCAGAGGCGAGTGGTAGCAGCATCCAGGTCCTTGATGACAACGAGGGGGCCATAGCGTTGGTGCAGAAGCCCCTCGGCTCAGGTCACACGAAACACATCGACGTGAGGTTTCATTTCATCCGCGGATTGTTTAGGTCGGGGGATATTTCGGCCAAGTTCGTTCCGACAACGGAGCAACATGCGGACCTCCTAACCAAGGCCCTTAGCAGGGCTAGTCTGCAGTACCACCGGCGCAAGTTGATGAATTTGCCGGAGCTGTAGCAGTTTCTAGCACTTGGGAGAGGTCATGTTTTCCATGCGGGGAAATGGGCAAAACCGTTGCGGTCTGTGTACCAATGGCAGGAGTAGGGGGCGTTGGGAGACCATCGTCCGGGGGAACGTAGTTCCTCGCGTTCTTGTCCTTGCCTCGGCCTTTCTAATAAGTGCGGCCGTTGTGATCCGCTGTGATAGCGACGGTTGTTGTGGTGGTAGGGGGGGTTTCGAGGGGTTTCGCCCGGACGCCGGGTTTCCGCTCCATATATGACCATGTTGGTATTTTCTGATGTATCCAGGGGCGTTCTTNTGGGCAAAACCGTTGCGGTCTGTGTACCAATGGCAGGAGTAGGGGGCGTTGGGAGACCATCGTCCGGGGGAACGTAGTTCCTCGCGTTCTTGTCCTTGCCTCGGCCTTTCTAATAAGTGCGGCCGTTGTGATCCGCTGTGATAGCGACGGTTGTTGTGGTGGTAGGGGGGGTTTCGAGGGGTTTCGCCCGGACGCCGGGTTTCCGCTCCATATATGACCATGTTGGTATTTTCTGATGTATCCAGGGGCGTTCTTGCCCCATTGATGGTTAGTCAATTTGCGTGAAGAACCAGGGAGGGTGTTCGTGAGTCTGCGAACATTGCTGTTGGATACATGTGCTGGATGATTTGGTGTCACGCAGACTTGTATTATTGCCGTTTGGTAGGGGGCACCGCGATGATTCACGGGGCCCCTCCTTGCTGTGGGGGGCGCTCTTTGAGCACCCCCTCTTTCGTCCGTGTGAAGGACGGTCGTCTACCTCTCGTGAAGTTAATACAGCACCAAAACAGTCTCACCCGATAAATAAGTGGTGTAGGCCGCAAACATGCGGACGGGGCAACAACGTGCAGACGCCCTTACCTATTTCAGGGGGGATTCCAGCAACCTGAATCGTGCCGAATAGATTAGCTGATTGGTTCCAGACTGCAGTTTGCGAAAAGAAGAAATACGCTTCCAAAATCATTGATCCTGTTGAAGGCAAGCCTCCTGAAATGCGTTTTCTCGGTCCGCCAAATAGATGCCCCTCGACAGCCTAGAACCGCTGCTATCATTGGAGTACATTACTCTATCGGTGGTCTAGTGGGTAACCTCGCAGCCTGCTAAGAACCAGGTCATGAGTTCGAGTCCCCGCAGAGTGAGTTTTTGTCTCACTAAATAAGTCCTGGGCTAGGATGAAAGCGACGCGTTGCAAAGCTCGTTGTTAGTAAACCATAATCGACTTCGAAAGTCGCGAGGGAAGGGATTGCTGTACCCTTCTCGCGACAAATATACCTCAGGCAGAAACCGCAGGAGGGGGTCCAGCCCCCCCCTCCTATGTGACCCCGGTTGGGTCGTCTGGCTAGGAGTGGAGGATAGGGGCCAGAGGGGCAGACGACAGAGTCCAATGATGGGAGAATAACAAAAAAGAAAGAAAAAATACTCAAGAAGACCAAAGAGCTGTTTCCTTCCGTCCTGGAGTGGCAGGCCCAAAGAGTTGAACTACTTCTTTGAGCGGGGAAATTACCAGCGTTTGCCTGTGCGACGCACAGCTAGCTATGCCCGTTGCTGAGCATCAGGAGCCCTTCCAGCTACCAAACGGGCAACAGGGCCGACGCAAACACTACAACAGACCACAGCTGGGACAAAATTACCACGCCTACAAAACTATCCTTTGAGACGTGCGGATGACGCGTCGCTCCCGAGCGCAAACCTACCCGCGCGCTCAATCAAACACCGCGCGGATTCCACATGTCCCGCTTGCTATGCATCCCCCAGGGCTTGCAAGACCTGGTCCAGGAGGGCGTCGAACAGGCATTCCGCCGGGGGTTCCTGCAAACCGTTCTCGCCCGCTGCCCCCGCCCCCGTTCCTAGCGCGCCGCCGGGACCAGCGCCCTTGCCACCGCCGGCGCCGTCGCCTCCGCCTCCGCCTTTCGCCGCTCGCGAAGCACGCGACCTGGTCACGGCCTCCACGTACTCCCGCAGGTCACGGGCCACCCCGACCACGGTTTCTTGCGAGCAGGCGGCGACCAGCGACAGAGCATGCTGGTGCGTTGAGGACTGCGACGGCCGCGGGACGAGCTCTGTCGCCGCTGTTGTTGTTGCCGCCGCCGCCGCCGCCGTCAGCAGGGTCGGCGATGTTCGGTCGTCGGTGGGCAACGCTACGGCCTCTGCCACCGGGAGGGTGGATGCGGACACGGCTGCCGCTGTCGGTGGAGGCGACAACCCAGACAGGTTGGTTGGTCTGCCCTCCCCGTCAACTTTCCGCGGCGAAGCGAAAACGGCCGTGGTCCGGAGGGAAGCCGAACAGGCTTCGCCGCTTGTAGCTGCGCTAGTCGACGATGGCCCACTTGTCACCGCTGCCGCCCGTTGGTCTCCCCGCGGCGACGTCGCCGGTGCCTCGGATCGTATGCCGGATGGGCTTTTTTCGTCCCGGTTATCGTTGGCAGTCGCCGCGGCTGCAGCATCAAACCCAGAACGCGGTCCCGCGGCCTCGATGCCGCTCTCGTCTCGCCCATAAGGCACGTCGTCCCCCGCGCTCTCCCCGCCTGCTCCCAAGGCCGGCAGTGACACCGCCTCCACCGCGGCCAGAGGCGGAGGGGGATTCCAGTGGCGCGAGAGGTCGGCGGCGGCCGTGGTGGACGCCCCTGGACAGAGCTCTTCCAAGGCATCGGCTGCGTACGCCCACCTCTGTACAAGTGTCCATCGAGAAGGACACGAGCAGGTATGGGGAGAATCGAACGCCAAAACGTCCAGATACATTGGATTCAGAAAGAAGCGGCGAGAGCGAGGCTCGACATCACCAACCAACGTAGGGCGGGTGGGCAAAACGTAACTTTTACGACATCGGCCAGGTATACGGATGGCACGTTTCAAGGAACACAGCAGCAAACGTCCGCCGTGAGCTCAACCCGTCTATTATCACGTACGGCACGAACGAGCCAGCCAAGAGTATGCGGTACAAGGTCGAGAGCGGCAAGCAGAACGGGAAAACATACCAAAGCCAGAAGTGAACGCAAAAAAAAACGCCCACAGTCGCATCGTGTGCGCAAGATTTAGGACGCGAAAGCGCGTGCCTTTTTCAGGCAGCGAACAAAACACACGGCAAAACCTGGTGTTCATGGAACACTCAGCGACACATCGCGAGTCTACCATGTTTGGGCGCAAGGGTGGCGACATCAGCGGCGACGCGGGCGTAGCCGTGAGCGCGGCGGCAATACATGAAGCAGCAGCGCTACAGCTGCCCCACAACATTTCAAACGCGTGTCGCATAGACGCCTCCGAAATGACACGTCCAGCGTGTTCGGGCCCCGAAAAACACCCGCATGTCACATCACCACCAATTGCGCCAGCGAAGCAAACGGAATAGGTAAAAAACAACCGAAGGGGTTCCTGCTGCGGTGCTCACCTTTCGAAACGCAACGCATGATCCAGGTCGGCAGATCTCCCGATACCTATGCACCTTCATACAGAAGCGCATTGCTCGCCTGACCTCCGAGGCCGCCAGCCACGGGCGCTCCGCGGAATCGATCGTCGCCCCCCCCCCTGCCGCCCCACGGGCTGAAGATGCCGTCGCTCCCCCATCCGCCGACCTCGCCAACGGTGGCGGAGGCGGTGGTCGTGGCGTCGGTAGCGGTGACTGAGAACCAGAAACGAGGCCAGGAGTGGCTCTCACCGCACAGGCAGCAGCACTCGCGGAATTAGGCGGCGGCGGTGGCCCCGGCCCCTGCGGCAGTCTTCGGAACAGTCCCGACGTCCTCGGCAGCGGGGTCGGGTGCGGCAGGGGCAACCAACCACCCCCCACGCTGCCGCCGCCGCTGCTGCATCTCCCAGCCACCGGTCTGTCGGCAACGTGGGAGGAGTAGAACTCGGCTTCCAGGGTGTCGCACGTTCGGCTTCCCAGCGCGGAGGAGAGGGCGACGTTCAGCCGGCGGCACCTCGCGTACTCCTGGGGAACAGATAGTGAAGGCACAACGTCAAGGGCCCGGACGTTGGACCGCACACCGGGAGGCGGGGGGTCGTTCGGTTCTTCTCGCAATCTTTAGACCCTCCACGACACCCTTGTGTCGGCGCGAGATGCCGATTGCACCTGCAATACAGACGGCACAAATTACTGGCCCTCTACACGTCTCCGTGCATCCCCCCTCCGTCCGGTATTGCTTCAAAGGCAGCAACAGAAACGTTGACCAAGGCAAAGCGTTGCGTCTAACAAAGAGGATACGTGGCATTTTGAGTCCTGATAGTACGTGGCGTGGTGTCTCAGGAAGAAAACAGAGCGCGGGCTTGTACCTCATCGCACACCATGTGCTCCGCCACGGACATGTACGAGTCCTCCGCCGCCTGCCTTGCGTGCCGCTGCAACGTGCCGACCCACGCCACTTGCTTCGCTCGGCTCTCCGCTCGAAACTTGAAATCAAATTTTGTCAACGGGGCACAACAGGGGCGGAAAACATCTTGACACCTCCCAGGGGTGAGAACTTCAAGCACACTTTTACCAACTCGTGCTGCGCATTCAGCAACAACGACAACAACAACAGCAACAGCGCCTACAAAGGCGAAAGCAACAGCGATCTCACCGTGTGGACCCGGTTGTGCGAGTGCAGCTCGAAGCAGTGGCTGGGCGCCTGCCGCGTTCGAGACGGAAAACCGACAAGGTGACGAGGAAATCAAAGCGGACACTTCGGGGCGGCAGTGAGCAACAGGAGCATCTCAGCAGCGTGCAGGCACCAAGAGGGACGCGTCCGTGGTGCCAAAGCGGATGACGTGAGGAGAATATATAAGCCGGAATCAAACCATTTAGACAAAATCAGCGCTGATAAGTTTGATGGTTTGATTTTCAGCTTCTACGGGATGCACTTTGATTATCTACGAAAACAACGGGAGAGGTGGCAGCAACCCAGAAGGGTGCGGTGGCCCCATAGCAGTGGAGGCTAAGACCGGCTTGGCTGATCCATGGAGTTGGGGGAATCTCGTGATGGAGACACAAGAAGGTTGTACCCACAAGGGTAAAGGAATGCGTTGTTATTAACCACGAGGATTACCGTGGGATGATTAACTGCGCGAGCGACGGAAGGCACCAGGGCCAAGGAGAAGCTGTGGCTACGCCCGCCCCCGCCCCTCCGCCTTCCCGACTGCTCGCTCTTGCTGCGGAGGAGCCACAAGCGGTCATCCTGGCACGCAGGGAGCGAAGGTCAATGAGCGAACATGATGTGAGAGACAACAGTTCTGCTGGGAAGATCGTTTTGAGCTTTCGAGACGGCCAGGACAAGGGAGCGACGCGCACGTCAGGGAGCATGCACATGGGAATTCTGCCCATGAATCAGGGCCCAGCACGTTGCTTGTGTTACATGGTGCCAAGGGCGAGGAGCGACGCGGTATCCCATCCAACATTGAACCACAAACTTAAGAGCGATGACAACGTCAATCGCGTCCGGGAAAACAATCTCCGCGCCTCTCAATTGTTGAACACCAGGGACCTGTCTGTGACTCCCGTTTCAAGCCCTTTACACATGTGACGGCGGCCGTTCCAAAGCATCTCCTACAAAATCACGGGCCAGAGGTCTGTCTGTGTATACATCCCTCTCTCGTCTCACCGCCAAAATGCACCACCGTCGTCGCCACAGGTTGGGGTCACTCCTGCTCTTCTTCTGGAGGTACCCGCAGTAGTGCCCCTGTCCGAGTCCCCGCAGGTCTATCCACCCGGCCCTTCTTTCGTCCTCCGAGGTGTCCGAACCCGACACCTGCTGCAAGAATGGATTGTTGCCGATATTGTTGCTGCTGCTGCTGCTGCTGCTGCTGCTCCTGCTGCTGGAGTGATTACTGGTGTTGCTGCTAATGGTGGTTGCTACTGGTGTTACTGGTGGTTGTGGTTCTTCGAGTTATGTTGATGTTGTTCTGTGTCTGTGACAACACAGGCCATCCAACATGGCGAAAGAACCCACCTCCAGTCATCACCATTGTAGTGCATGCAACAAATGATGGAACCGCGCTTTTCGCACCAAACGCGACGGGATACAAAATGAAAGCGCCGTATTTTATTTTTTCGATGCTTCACAAATGGGTCAGAGCTACGGTCGACAACAGCATTTTTCTTTGCCGTCGTCCCTCCTAAACTAACGGTCAGTCAGGTCGATCCCACTACTTTATCCGAGAAAAAGCTGGACTTGCTCTAAGCCGTGTGACTACGAATGCTAAACAAACAAAAAAATCCTCACCTCCACCTGAAGCTCGTCGGGGTCGAGCGCCGGCGCTGTCCGCTCTCTGTAAATCCAGCGCGATCTCCACATCAAGGCAGGTTGCTCTGCCCTGCCACCGCGGGCACCCGCTCCGCTCCCCTCCTCCCCCCCCCCCCCCCCCCCCCCCCCCCCCCCCCCCCCCCCCCCCCCCCCCCCC